TTTGCAGGGAGGAGGCTGTGAGCAGGATCGATCCCTGGTTTATCTGTGAGTGATTAGTGAGGTCTGCAGCAGCCCTCTATCCTGGCTATCGCAGGATAGATGCCTGGCTATCACACCCAGATAGCCAGGCATCGATCCTCCTCGCAGACATTCTTTCCTTCGCCGGAGCTCAGAACTGTCAGAGCTCCGGCCGAAGGAAGCCAGAACTGACAGGAGCTGCTCTGCGGTCTGCATCTGACACAGATGCAGACCGTGGAGCTTCTCCCGCAAGTCAGGTACGCGGTCTGCGACCGTGTGCCTGACATGTCAGCTGGCTGTGGGCCACATGGTACCGGCTCGTGGGCCGGAGTTGGTCCGCGAGCCGGTACTTGGAGACCCAAATCTCCACTCGCCCTCACCTTATTTTTACTCGCAAAATGCTAGCAGGCGAGTGGAAATTTTAAGCCCGGTGTTAACCCTTTCACTGCCGCAGATGTTTTTGCAGGATTTGGTGGCAGTTGCAATTTTTTTGTCACACGATATTTGCACAACTGTTTATTAAACCCAAATTTTTAGCAACAAATGCTTTCAAAATAATGAATGCACACAAACACAATATTATACCTACACTGAGTGGCCAGATTATTATGACCACCTGACGTTTGTAGGCAAATTAGCTATAATTAGCTATAATTTTGCGCTGAAGTTGCTAGAGGGCCAGACCATTATAAATAGGGAAGCAGGTTGTTTACCATGACAGTAGAAGTGATTTTTTTCTGAAGGTATGGGTAAACAACGCGATTAACAGCCTTTGAAAGTGGGATGATTGTTGGCGCTCTGAGCCATGGAGTGAGTATCAGCAAAACAGCAGAATTCGTTAAATGTTCAAGAGCAGCGGTTGTAAAAGTGTTTAAAGACTGGACTGCCAGCCGAAAATCTGGGTCTGAACATGTGAATTGTGGCCGTCAGCGACTAGTCAATGTTAGGGCAGAACGGAGAGTGGCAAGACTGGTACAAGACAACAGAAGGGCAACAGTGCAGTGTCAGATTCCTCGCATCACCTTTCAACATCTCGTGGAGTCACGAGGCGGCCCAACAAAGTCATCTCGTGGAATCATCTCGTGGCCCAATGAAGTACTGATGGGGTGGTCATAATAATCTGGCCACTCAGTGTATATTGTGGGTAAAATATAAAAGATGAGGTTGTGTTCAGTAAATGGACACCAAACAGCCTTTCTTTTTTTTTTACATAAAGCAATATTATACTCTAAAACATTTTCCAATAATGAATCCAAATCAAACAAATATACATTGACCAGCAAAGAATTTCTTTACATTTTTGCACAAACACTTAAAGTAATCATGTTTCCAAGTGGCTCCAATTCTCTCGGCTTCCCTGTATTTCCTGTTCAGTGCAAGATCACAAGGGACAGAGCAGTCGACAGCAGCTGTTCATATACTAGCTTGGAGAAGTAAGAATAGTGAAAGGAGGAGCAGGAGATTGTCTTGCCTTGCTTTCTATGCCTGCTGAGACACCCAGCACAGTGCCTGCTAGCACACACAAGGGTGGCTCCATAGGACTCTGCAAAGGAAAGGAGCCGCTCTAAAACAGGATATCAGGACGAGTGCTCAGGGGATCAGCTGATTCTGCACGAAACTATAACTTTTAAACATCAAGGAGCAGCATCCATTGTCAGTAATTCAAACAGCCTTTGAAATGGCTTAAAGGAGAACTATGGGGTGAATAAATTATGCTCATCCCCATAGTTAGAGCTGGCGTGTGACATTGAAACTGTCACACGTCGGCTCTATTGATTGTGAAGTGAACGAAAACATACCGCCGTTGACTCACTTTCCGATCAACTCCATGCAGAGAGTGGTGACTGTCAGTCACTGCTCCCTACAGGGATCCCCCCCCCCCCCCCCCCCCCCCCCCCCCCGCGTGTATCGGGGGGGGGG